TTTTGACATAGGGTGCTGGCAGATTACGGGCCTCCCATAGCTGCTGCCAGGCCCCCCTAATCTGCCATGGGCCCCTATATACCGCCTCCTCATGCTGCTGCTGCAGGTCCAGAGTCTGTCATGGGTCCCTGTACGGCCTCCCATTGCTGCTGTCTCCATCGCCACACTCTGCTGCCATGTGCCACTTTCAGGTCTCCTCACACACTGCTGGTGTGTTTGAATTTTTTGACATAGGGTGCTGGCAGATTACGGGCCTCCCATAGCTGCTGCCAGGCCCCTAATCTGCCATAGGCCCCTATATACCGCCTCCTCATGCTGCTGCCAAGTCCAGAGTCTCTCATGGTCCCTGTACGGCCTCCCATTGCTGCTGTCTCCATCGCCACACTCTGCCATGTGCCACTTTCAGGTCTCCTCACACACTGCTGTTGTGTTCAATTTTTTGACATAGGGTGCTGGCAGATTACGGGCCTCCCATAGCTGCTGCCAGGCCCCTAATCTGCCATGGGCCCCTATATACCGCCTCCTCATGCTGCTGCCAGTCCAGAGTCTCTCATGGGTCCCTGTACGGCCTCCCATTGCTGCTGTCTCCATCGCCACACTCTGCCATGTGCCACTTTCAGGTCTCCTCACACACTGCTGGTGTGTTGAATTTTTTGACATAGGGTGCTGGCAGATTACGGGCCTCCCATAGCTGCTGCCAGGCCCTAATCTGCCATGGGCCCCTATATACCGCCTCCTCATGCTGCTGCTGCCAGGTTCCAAGAGTCTGTCATGGGTCCCCCTGTACGGCCTCCCATTGTTGCTGCTGTCTCCATCGCCACACTCTGCTGCCATGTGCCACTTTCAGGTCTCCTCACACACACTGCTGTGTGTTGAATTTTTTGACATAGGGTGCTGGCAGATTACGGGCCTCCATAGCTGCTGCCAGGCCCCTAATCTGCCATGGGCCCCTATATACCGCCGCCTCCTCATGCTGCTGCCAAGTCCAGAGTCTCTCATGGGTCCCTGTACGCCCTCCCATTGCTGCTGTCTCCATCGCCACACTCTGCCATGTGCCCACTTTCAGGTCTCCTCACACACTGCTGGTGTGTTGAATTTTTTGACATAGGGTGCTGGCAGATTACGGGCCTCCCATAGCTGCTGCCAGGCCCCTAATCTGCCATGGGCCCCTATATACCCGCCTCCTCATGCTGCTGCCAGGTCCAGAGTCTCTGTCATGGGTCCCTGTACGGCCTCCCATTGCTGCTGTCTCCATCGCCACACTCTGCCATGTGCCACTTTCAGGTCTCCTCACACTGCTGGTGTGTTGAATTTTTTGACATAGGGTGCTGGCAGATTACGGGCCCTCCCGGGCCTCCTGCTGCCAGCTAATCTGCCAGGCCCCTAATCTGCCATGGCCCCCATGACCGCCTCCCCTCACTGCCTCCCATGCTGCTGTCAGGTCCACGCCACACTCATGCCATGTGCCACTTTCAGGTCTCCTCACACACTGCTGGTGTGTGTTGAATTTTTACATAGGGTGCTGGCAGATTACGGGCCTCCCATAGCTGCTGCCAGGCCCCTAATCTGCCATGGGCCCCTATATACCCTCCTCATGCTGCTGCCAAGTCCAGAGTCTGTCATGGGTCCCCTGTACGCCCTCCCATTGCTGCTGTCTCCATCGCCACACTCTGCCATGTGCCACTTTCAGGTCTCCTCACACACACTGCTGGTGTGTTTGAATTTTTTGACATAGGGTGCTGGCAGATTACGGGCCTCCCATAGCTGCTGCCAGGCCCCTAATCTGCCATGGGCCCCTATACCCGCCTCCTCATGCTGCTGCCAAGTCCAGAGTCTCTCATGGGTCCTGTACGGCCTCCCATTGCTGCTGTCTCCATCGCCACACTCTGCCATGTGCCACTTTCAGGTCTCCTCACACACTGCTGGTGTGTTGAATTTTTTGACATAGGGTGCTGGCAGATTACGGGCCTCCCATAGCTGCTGCCAGGCCCCTAATCTGCCATGGGCCCCTAATACCGCCTCCTCATGCTGCTGCTGCCAAGCCAGAGTCTCTCATGGGTCCCTGTACGGCCTCCCATTGCTGCTGTGTCATCCATCGCCACACTCTGCTGCCATGTGCCACTTTCAGGTCTCCTCACACACTGCTGGTGTGTAGTTCAAATTTTGACATAGGGTGGTGCTGGCAGATTACGGGCCTCCCATAGCTGCTGCCAGGCCCCTAATCTGCCATGGGCCCTATATACCGCCTCCTCATGCTGCTGCCAAGTCCAGAGTCTGTCATGGGTCCCTGTACGGCCTCCCATTGCTGCTGTCTCCATCGCCACACTCTGCCATGTGCCACTTTCAGGTCTCCTCACACACTGCTGGTGTGTTTGAATTTTTTTTGACATAGGGTGCTGGCAGATTACGGGCCTCCCATAGCTGCTGCCAGGCCCCTAATCTGCCATGGGCCCCTATACCCGCCTCCTCATGCTGCTGCCAGGTCCAGGCGAACGTAGTCACACAGGGGAGGAACTTCTCAGTGTAATGAACAGAGAAATCGACAGATGGCTGTCTCCGCGCAAACTGAAAATCGAAACCATGTTGACCGACAACGGAAAGAACATGGTGTCTGCTCTGCGTCAAGTAAGGTTGTGCCATGCGCCATGCATGGCTCACGTGTTCAATCTGGTTGTCAAGCGTTTCCTAAAATCCACCATCCCACTGCAAGACATCCTTAAAATGTCACGTAAACTTTGCATGCATTTCAGCCATTCCTACACCCAAAGCACACCCTCCTTGAGCTGCATGCAGCTGGCAGAACGGAATTGCACAGCATCGCCTGATCTGCGCCACGTTGCAACAAGGTGGAATTCAACCCAACACACATGTTAGACCGCCTTTACGAACAGCGAAAGGCCATCACCGATTTCCTGATGTTACAAAAGCGGATAAAGGTACTCCCTGTGTAACTTCGATGTCAGCCATTTGGCAGCTCATGCGTGACACCTGCGCTTGCTCAGGCCCTTTGAGGAGGCCACGCTATTCGTGAGTCGGCAGGACTATGGGATGAACGACGTCATTCCTCTGTTGCACGTCCTGGAACAAATGCTGTTAAACAATGGCTGGTCAGGGTGCGGTAGACGTGGCGCACAGATCTCAACGCCACATGACCCCTGTGGGGGCAGGACAGGAAGAAGAGGAGGAGGTAGAGGAGGACATTTGTGCTCAGGAATTATTGATTGAGTGAAATGGGTGGTTTTTTCCACTCAGCGGACAGGAGTGGAGGAGCAGGAGCATCTGGTAGAGGAGGAGGAGGAGACAGAGGACCCAGACGCACCGTGGCAGTATGCTGGAGATGGAGGCAGGGAGTCCCTCGCATTCCTTGGCACAAATGGCCCATAGCATGCATGCTCGGTTGCTTGCTTGCGTAGCGACAGCCGAAATAATAACCATCAGACAGAGGGATGACTTTTGGCTGTCCACCTTGTTGTTGGACCCTCGCTACCGTTCAAAAATGGTGGCCTTTTTCACACCTGCTGAGAGGGAGGCCAAAATAACGTACTATAAAAACCACCTATGTAGTCAGTTGGTCTCTGCCTTTCTGCGCCAACGTCCATCCTCAGACACTGTGGGCCCTGTGCGCTCGCGTTCCGCTGCCATGGCAGCAGGGGAGGGGTGGGGTGGTAGGAGAGCAGTGGCAGCTCCACCAGCAGCGGCTGCCTCAGTCTGCAGTCGATGATGAGTAGCTTTCTTCACCAGCGCAGTGAGGAAACTACTAACCAGCCGCAGCAGCAGCAGCAGCATCAGGTGGACCTGGAGCAGGACCTCAAACAACAGGCTTGGGCCTACTTGGACAGCACCCTGCCAACCGAGGTAGACAATCCCCTTGACTACTGGGCAACGAAACTTGACCTTTGGCCCCAACTAGCTGAATTTGCCCTTGAAAGGCTGTCATGCCCGGCCAGTAGCGTGGCATCGGAGCGCGTGTTTTAGTGTGCGGCAGGAGGTATTGTAACTCCCGCGGAGGACACGACTGTCCACCCAAAGTGTGGAGAGACTCACGTTTGTGAAAATGAATCAGGCGTGGATTAGTCTGGATTTCAAACCACCAGTTCCTGACACCAACTGACTAAAATCCGCCATGAATCATGCCAAACATGTGCCACTTTCAGGTCTCCTCACACTGCTGGTGTGTTTGAATTTTTTGACATAGGGTGCTGGCAGATTACGGGCCTCCCATAGCTGCTGCCAGGCCCCTAATCTGCCATGGGCCCCTATATACCGCCTCCTCATGCTGCTGCCAGGTCCAGAGTCTCTCATGGTCCCTGTACGGCCTCCCATTGCTGCTGTCTCCATCGCCACACTCTGCCATGTGCCACTTTCAGGTCCTCACACACACTGCTGGTGTGTTGAATTTTTTGACATAGGGTGCTGGCAGATTACGGGCCTCCCATAGCTGCTGCCAGGCCCCTAATCTGCCATGGGCCCTATATATACCGCCTCCTCATGCTGCTGCCAAGTCCAGAGTCTCTCATGGGTCCCTGTACGGCCTCCCATTGCTGCTGTCTCCATCGCCACACTCTGCCATGTGCCACTTTCAGGTCTCCTCACACACTGCTGGTGTGTTGAATTTTTTGACATAGGGTGCTGGCAGATTACGGGCCTCCTATAGCTGCTGCCAGGCCCCTAATCTCTGCCATGGGCCCCTATATACCGCCTCCTCATGCTGCTGCCAGGTCCAGAGTCTCTCATGGGTCCCTGTACGGCCTCCCATTGCTGCTGTCTCCATCGCCACACTCTGCCATGTGCCACTTTCAGGTCTCCTCACACTGCTGGTGTGTTGAATTTTTTGACATAGGGTGCTGGCAGATTACGGGCCTCCCATAGCTGCTGCCAGGCCCCTAATCTGCCATGGGCCCCCGTAATACCGCCTCCTCATGCTGCTGCCAAGGTCCAGAGTCTCTCATGGTCCCTGTACGGCCTCCCATTGCTGCTGTCTCCATCGCCACAACTCTGCTATGTGCCACTTTCAGGTCTCCTCACACTGCTGGTGTGTTCCATTTTTTGTCATAGGGTGCTGGCAGATTACGGGCCTCCCATTGCTGCTGCCAGGCCCGTAATCTGCCATGGGCCCCTGTACCGCCTCTTCATGCTGCTGCCAGGTCCAGAGTGTGTCATGGGTCCCTGTACGGCCTCCCATTGCTGCTGCCAGGAGGCAGCAGGGTCGCAGCAGTGTCTGGAGGCAAACGGCCACGGAGTAGAGCACCAGCTCCACTGCAGCCTACCACACTCAGGCCAGTAGTGGTGGTGTGCACGGAGGAAGTAGCAGTCAGCCAGTGAGGAGTAGCGGGGGCAAATTTCCTACTCGGCCTCCTCATTTTTCGTCAAGCCGCCGAGGAAGTAAACGTAGCCGTATGTCGACTATGTGGCCAGAAAGTCAAGCGTGGCCAGGGGGCCCATGTTGGGACTACAGCGTTGCGTCAGCATATGCAGCGTCGCCATTCGGTGGCCTGGGAAAACCGTGATAAAGATACCACGGTTTGCCTGGTCTCCCAGCCCAGGGTTCCATTTTGTCATAGGGTGCTGGCAGATTACGGGCCTCCCATTGCTGCTGCCAGGCCTTAATCTGCCATGGGCCCCTGTATATCCTCCTCATGCTGCTGCCAGGTCCAGAGTCTGTCATGGGTCCCTGTACGGCCTCCCATTGCTGCTGTCTCCATCGCCACACTCTGCCATGTGCCACTTTCAGGTCTCCTCACACACTGCTGGTGTGTTGAATTTTTTGACATAGGGTGCTGGCAGATTACGGCCTCCCATAGCTGCTGCCAGGCCCCTAATCTGCCATGGGCCCCTATATACCGCCTCCTCATGCTGCTGCCAAGTCCAGCCATGGTCCCTGTACAGTCTCTCATGCCATGTGTATGCCACTTTCAGGTCTCCTCACACTGCTGGTGTGTTGAATTTTTTGACATAGGGTGCTGGCAGATTACGGGCCTCCATAGCTGCTGCCAGGCCCCTAATCTGCCATGGGCCCCTATATACCGCCTCCTCATGCTGCTGCCAGGTCCAGAGTCTGTCATGGGTCCCTGTACGCCTCCCATTGCTGCTGTCTCCATCGCCACACTCTGCCATGTGCCACTTTCAGGTCTCCTCACACTGCTGGTGTGTTGAATTTTTTGACATAGGGTGCTGGCAGATTACGGGCCTCCCCATAGCTGCTGCCAGGCCCCTAATCTGCCATGGCCCCTATATACCGCCCTCCTCATGCTGCTGCCAGGTCCAGAGTCTCTCATGGGTCCCTGTACGGCCTCCCATTGCTGCTGTCTCCATCGCCACACTCTGCCATGTGCCACTTTCAGGTCTCCTCACACACTGCTGGTGTGTTTGAATTTTTTGTCATAGGGTGCTGGCAGATTACGGGCTCCTATAGCTGCTGCCAGGCCCCTAATCTGCCATGGGCCCCTATAATAGCTGCCGCCTCCTCATGCTGCTGCCAGGTCCACAGTCTCTCATGCCATGTGCCACTTTCAGGTCCTCCTCACACTGCTGGTGTGTTTCAATTTTTGAACATAGGGTGCTGGCAGATTATGGGCCTCCCATAGCTGCTGCCCAGGCCCCTAATCTGCATGGGCCCCTATATACCGCCTCCTCATGCTGCTGCCAGGTCCAGAGTCTCTCATGGGTCCCTGTACGGCCTCCCATTGCTGCTGTCTCCATCGCCACACTCTGCCATGTGCCACTTTCAGGTCTCCTCACACTGCTGGTGGTTCCATTTTGTCATAGGTGCTGACAGATTACGGGCCTCCCATTGCTGCTGCCAGGGCCTGTAATCTGCCATGGGCCTCCCGTACCGCCTGGTCACGCTGGCTGCTGGGTCCACATTGTGACATGGGTCCCTGTACCGCCTCCCATTGCTCCCACTCTGCCATGTGCCACTTTGAGGTCTCCTCACACTCCTGCTGGTTTCCATTTGTCATAGGTTTTGCTGTATGGCCTCCCATTGCTGCTGCCTCCACCGCCACACTGTGGCTCCCAAACACTGGTTTTGGCCCCGTGACTGGCCAAATGAGTGAAGTGTGCGGTGATTCTAAGATCGACGGCACTCATCTGCATGTCCATACTGACTGACAGTATTATTTTCTCTTCCCCAGCAGACTCCAAGGGCATTTAAATTAAAGGTACAGTGTTCTGCACTAATATTAAGTCTCTCTGAAGCCTAGAAACACCCTTTTTTAAGTTAAATTCACAGCGAATATATTCGACTCGAATCGAATATTGTCCACGAATTCGCCGAATCAGTCGAATCGAATTTTTGAATACTTCGCTCATCTCTAGTTAAGAGGATCACCATTGCCCACCATTGCCCTGGATCCACCTTCTAGACAATACCTAATATTTATTAAATTATATACACATTTTATTTAACTGCAGATATCCCCACAAAAGCCATAAATGTTGTAACAATATTATAATTTTATTTATTATGTATTTCAGATACTTATATAGTGCCATCAATTTACACAGCGCTTTACATATATATTGTACATTCACATCAGTCCCTAACCCTCAAGGGGCATACAATCTAAAGTCCCTAACTCTCACATTCATACATACATACTAGGGCCAATTTAGACAGGAGCCAATTAACCTACCAGCATGTCTTTGGAGTGTAGGAGGAAACTGGAGTGCCTGGAGGAAACCCACACAGTCACAGGGAGAACATGCAAACTCCAGCAGGTTTTTCCGGGGTTGGGATTTGAACCAGCGACCCTAGTACTGCCAGGCGGAAGTGCTAACCATTTAGCCACTGTGTTTCCCACAGCCACTGTGCTGCCCACATAATCAATCAAAAACCTAGTTACCAGAAAATTATAAACTTAAAAAAATTAGAATAAAAATAAAACAATTTAAAAAGGTCAAATACCAAACCATATAAATACAACCTTCACAGTGTGGCACACAGATTCCTTATTCCTTTTCAATAACTGATAACTCCAAAACCCCAGAGAGGCTTTTATTATAAACAGCTGGGACAATATGCACCTAATTTTATTAAAAGGCTTTTCAAACTTGGCATTTTTACAGGACAGAGAATGGTTCAACATGTCAGGCAAAGTTCGCATTAATGTGGACTCATTTCCGTGTTTTACCTCTTTATTTGCCTATGGAAGGAAAAATGAACGGAAACAGCTAAAGATCAGCTAATCTACTATAATAATGGCAAAAATAGGCTTTTTCGCCTTTGTTCAGCAGCAACGTAAAGCTTTTATAAAACAGGTTTGTATAATTATAATAAAAAAGGTGAATTTTGAAAAGAAAAAAGTTCTGTCACAAAAAAAGAATAAAGAGAAATTGACTTTTTGATCTGACTGTACTTATTTTACTCCTACACATTACAAACTAAACCTGTATTCAAAAGTATCAAATGTGGTAAATGTGCTTGTAGAGATGCCAATGTGAAACTAGAAAACCAATCCCCAAAGTAGAGTAAAACTACCAGAAGAGGTCTAAAATATCAATATACAGTAGTTCATGTGTGCAATATGAAAAGTGCCAAATTTGGAATATTCATACTGGCTAGAGACAAAAAAAAATTCTTTGGTTTCAGTTTTATGCATGAAGTAAGTCCTTTCATTTCTTCATAATCTTTATGTTAGAATAATTCATTTTTGGGACTATTTGTTTTTTTTCGGGAGAGTATATATTTATTGTTCTGGATCGATTAGTATTTTTGGAAGTTTTGTTATTCTTTGTGTTATTTTGGAAGATTGGCTATATTCATTTTAACATAATTAATTAATACGTATTCATACGTTATGTTCTTAAGTTTAATTAATTTCCCCATTCCCAAATGACTGTTTTGGAGCCACACACATACAAATGAAACGTATGGTCTCTCCAGTTCAACCTCAATACAAAAGATATCTTATTAGAATATTCACACATTATGCTCACTAAAATAAAAATGAATTGCTCTGAATCAATCCAGATCTTTTGTTCAAACATTAACAAAAGGCCCAAACTATAGCATCATATCATCCAAATGAAACAAATGAATACAAATGAATTTGTTGTTTTTCGTTATAGTTTATTTCACATATCTAATACTGGCTGTTGTCAAATTACTTAAATGAATTTGCTATTTGGATGGCTGAATTTACTAAGGATGTCTTCTATCTCTTCTCATCAGAAGTCATCTTTTCCTGGTTGAAAAAGGGTGTGGATCGAATGCTTAGTGTGCCGATGTACAGTGTGTCGGCACCTCACTGCTCAAAAAGATTAAAGGAACATTAATGACAGTACATCACCAAGTCAATTAAACTCTTGGGATATTGATCTGGTCAGTTAAGTAGCAGAGGGGGTTGTTAGTTTCAGCTGCTTTGATGTTATAATGAAATTAACAACAGGTGCACTAGCAACAATGAAACAACCCCCAAAACAGGAATGGTTTTGCAGGTGGAGGTCACTGACATTTTTTTTCCCTACTCATCTTTTCTGACTGTTTTTTACTAGTTTTTTGCATTTGGTTAGGGTCAGTGTCACTGCTGGTAGCATGAGGCGATACCTAGACCCTACAGAGGTTGCACAGGAAGTCCAACTCCTCCAGGATGGCACATCAATATCTGCCTTTGCCCGAAGGTTTGCTGTGTCTCCCAGCACAGTCTCAAGAGATTCCAGGAGACGGGCAGTAACTCTAAGAGAGCTAAACAGGGCTGTTGGAGGTCCTTAACCCATCAGCAGGACCGGTATCTGCTCTTTTGTGCAAGGAGGAACAGGATAAGCACTGCCAGAGCCCTACAAAATGACCTCCAGCAGGCCACCAATGTGAATGTCTCTGACCAAACAATCAGAAACAGACTTCATGAGGGTGGCCTGAGGTCCGACATCCTCAAGTGGACCCTGTGCTTACTCCCTGGCACCACAAAGCTCGATTGGCATTTGCCATTGAACACCAGAATTGGCAGGTCCACCACTGGCACCCTATGTTTTTCACAGATGAGAACAGGTTCACCCTGAGCACATGTGACAGATGTGAAAGGGTCTGGAGGAGCTGTGGAGAATGTTATGCTGCCTGCAACATCATTCAGCATGACCATGTTGGTGGTGGGTCACTGATTGTCTGGGGAGGCACATACATGGAGAGACGGACAGACCTCTACAGGCTAGACAATGGAACCCCAGTGACTGCCATTAGGCATTGGGATGAAATCCTTGGACCCATTGTCAGACCCTACACTGGTGCAATGAGTCCTGGGTTCCTCCTGGTGCATGACAATGCCCGGCCACATATGGCCAGAGTATGCAGGCAGTTCCTGGAGGATGAAAGAATTGATACCATTGAATGGCCCATACGCTCACCTGACATAAATCCAATAGAACGCCTCTGAGATATCATGTTTCGGTCCATCCGACACTGCCAGATTGCACCTCCACTGTCCAGGAGCTCAGTGATGCACTGCTCCAGATCTAAGGGGAAATACCCAGGGAAACCATCCATCATCTCATTAGAAGCATGTCCTGATACTGTCAGGCATGCATACAAGCACGTGGGGGCCATACAAACTACTGAGTACCATTTTGAGTTGCTGCAATGAAATTTCAGCAAAATGGACTAGCCTGCTGCATCATTATTTCACTTTGATGTTCGGGGGGGCTTTGAATTTAGTTCTCAGTATGTTGATAATTTTCATTTCCACCCGATGGGTCTCTTCTCCATATCTGGTGGTCTTGCCCAACTATCCAGCCCTTCTGGCAGGAGGTTCACTGTATAACCCCGTCCGTATCCACTATACCTCTCAATTTTTCTCCGGCCCAATTTCTCCCCAGACGCCTTTATTTCAAATCACTCGCTATGCATATGCTCAATGCGGCTAGACTCTGTCTACCTGTTCTCTGGGGATCTACCCACCCCCCTTCAATACCAGATTGTTTCACATGTGTGGGAAGAGTTGCGGAGATAGAGGAGCTGATTGCTTCATTACAAGATAACCCAACTAAATTTTCCCATATCTGGTCTTGCTGGACTCACTTTCAAACGACCTCGGAATATCGTTCCCTTATGGGTCTTTTACTTGACTTTGTGCCGAACGTGCATTCCCACATTGCTTTCTTCATCACATCTCCCCTTGACCTTTTTAAGGTTGTCAAGATATTCTATCCTACCCTTTACGCTGGTCGGAGTGTGACACCCTCATGTTCAATGCACCCCATTGTCTGACTCATGCTTATACCCTTTTTGGGGCTGATTATAATTGTTGTGTCCCTGGAGCTTCCACACCTGTAGTATGCCTGCCTATACCGCTCCTCCCCAGTTTCCTTCCTTCCCCTCTCTGACCCTCCCTTTTTTCTTTCTCTCTCTCTGGCTCTCCATCACTCATCCTTCCCTACTCCCCTTCTGACTCTTTTCTTATCATTCCCTTTACCTTCCCTTTCCTCCTTTCTATTTTGCATGTCTTACCTTACTCTCACCCTTCTACCCCTCCACTTTTTTCCCTGCCCATAGGCGACATACTCCCATACCCATACGCAATTTGCAAATACATGTCCTCCGATTTACAAAGACCTCTTCTCACACACGGTAACTGCTACTCGTAGCCCCCATTATACCTCATGGATAGTATAGAGCTCTCTACACCTCTGCACCAGCTTTCCTCTATAGGATGTACTGAGCTTCTTCTGCCCCCCTACCCTGCTTTTACAGGATGTAAGACATATGGGGGACTAAACAACTGTTCCTGCTCGTCTTGTGGATTTCTTTTCCCTTATATTATGGTTTTGGGTATTAAGTGCCTTCATCCTTGGGACCGTATGTCATCTCCTCTAATCGAATACCATTAATATCATTAATAGTACTGTATGTGCGACATGAGATCTTTTTCTCTGTCTGTTTACCTTATCATCTCTCACTGTATGGTATTTGTTATTTGTTTTACATTGCGATTTTCATTATCACTTTGTATCTCTTTGTACTCATTGTTCTTTTTGTATGCTCTGTGTTTTCCTTATAAACTTTATGGAAAAAAAAAATTAATTTCCATCAAATGATGGGGCATCCTTACGTACCTAACACATTACCCAGTACATATCAGTATAGATATCCAGCATGATATTTTTCCCCATTGAGAGATCTGATGTGTTTTCAAAGTGTTCTCTTAATTTTTTTGAGCAGTGTAGGTAGACAGGCAGAGCTTGGAAATCTACA